AAGTGGGACTGCCCTCGTCGTGCTTTGTCAAAGAAAGTCGGTCTAATTTCGAATTCCTGTCAGTCTAGTAAGTCTGTCTTTGTGGCCTGTCAGTCTGATCGTCCATTGAAAATTCATTAAAATAAAGACTTACCATGCCGTATGTCGCGTAGACTGCACGCGACATATGGTATGGTTGTGTCATTTTTTGGAGTGCAAACATGATAGCCGCATCAAAAATAGTACCCGTTGTAGTATTTCTTATCATTGATAAGCCTTTATTTTAATGAATACTTCATTTTCAGTTTAACTAATTGATGTTTTGCACAGTAACAAACGAAAATAAACATTATCCCAGGGCAATAAGGTCGAGTTTTATCTTTTGGAGATCTAAGTAAACATCTCGAATTTTCCACGCTTGTAGCGAACAAAAGTTTAACAAAAAAATGCATCAGAGTGTTTTGTTAATTTTAAACTTAATTGATCGAAATAAAATCCATTATATAATATGTGCGTTAAAGAAGGCATATGTTGTCGAGAAGATACTATTTTCTATTCGTTCAGATGTTAATCGTTCGTCGTAGTCCAGCTATTGGCCGAAAGATGGCACCACGTTGAATAAAATTTTAATATAAAATCAAAACATCCAAATTTTCAATAAAGTTATTGAACTTTCAACCAAATAGCAACTGGGTAAAGTTTAAATTATATTAACACATCAGAATTTGTCACATCTTTTAAAATTAGAAACTATGAGTAATCATTAAAGATTTCGTAATGTTTATTATTTGTTTGTGTGCGTTATGGCTACAGCAGTTCCAATAGTAATCGAGGCTTAAAGCACTTCCATTGTTTTTTCTACCGGGTTTAAAAACAAACACCAAACACGCGTTACCGAGCGCTGGTCGGTTTCTCGACACACATCGAAGGAGTCAAACAGACTTATTTGACTCCATGTGTAGACGACCAGTTTTGTCTGTGTCTGCATGTTTGTCTGTCCGTCCAAGTACAACTGTTCAGGCTTAAGAGCCTTTCAAAACCGTTGCTGCTTGAACTTCAAAGTGCAGTGTTGCTATAACTGTTGTAACAGGCGTTTATGTTTGCAAAATATTTTTAAGGTCTACCAACGCATAGCAAAAGAGGTCACTTTCAAAATCACCTTCGTACGATAAGCATTTACTTAAAGTTTCATTTTATTTTTATGTTAATTTTCGGTATTAAATAGTTTCAAGTATTTTTGGGTTTCGCTGAAGCACCTTTATAGTGATGAAAGAGATTCAGTCTTTTAAGGCCTTTTAAAAAACCTCGACTAATTTTTAACGCCTCACAACTAGTTCAGACTTTTAACCTTCAAGTCTCGAGTCATAAGACTAAAATTGAAGACTTCGAAGTCTTTTAACCCTAGGAAGCTTAAAAGACTTATAGGACTAAAACGACTGGCGCTTCATAGCCTCGGGAGTCGCGATTCGTGAGCTGTATGGCGTGATTTTATTTCTACCCACAAGGTATTTTACGATTTTTATTATAAGTATTTACTTATTTTATTTAAACGTCATTAAACAAACACTAAAATCCGTTGCCCACCGTACCGAACTTGCAACTAGAAATCCGCGGGTAATAGGTCCCCGATTCTACGAACATCTACCCACAGACCTGAAAAGTGTTACAAACGATGAAACGTTTTGTACCCGACTAAAAATCCTTTTATTGGATATTGAATTGTACAGTGTCGATGAGTTTCTTTTGAAACAATTTTAATTTTATTTTATTCGACAAGCAGTAGTTATACTACTTTGTTTTATATTCATTATTATTATTTTGTTACTGACGATCATAGTTATCCCTTGACATTGTATTTCCAATTGTAATATTGTGACATTGATAACATGAAATAAACGATTCTATTCTATTCTATTCATTATTTACTACATACTACTTACGTCATTTTTATTTACAAAACTTCGGGTTTAATAAGACATAAAATAGAAGTCCTTTGCAAACAACTCGAGTCGTTTAAATCTTTTGACTCTTTTAGTATAACAACTGGGTCTTATTAATAAAAACTCGTATACTGTAAAATGGAGTCGAGTCGTTATAAAACGCCTTAAAAGACTGAGTCTCTTTCATCACTACTCCTTTATGTCCGCGAAGACAACAACAAATATGTAATTGCGAATACAAGTATTAAACTTTCAACGATATGCCAACAAGATAAAGTTTAAATTATATTAACAAGTCAAAATCTGTTTTTAAATTTGAAACTACAACCATACATTATAATGCACCTCCGTTACTGGTGGTTGTGAACCAGATTCTATACCTGAAAACACCGTTTCATAACTGACCTTCCTCAATCAGTTTCGCGTCGGCTGCAGCAGCGCGGTACAACGCAGTAAGCCAGCGCTGGGCCGATTCGCTAGGCGCTTCTTCGGACAAACGCTTCAAGATATCTGCTGCAAGTCTGTGGTGACCGTATCTGCCAATTTTAATAATAATGTGCCATAGAAAATGAAACTATTTTTCCGGATTTAAATCGCGTATATTTGTTTTTTCAAACAAACCGACGTTTCGGACCCTTTACAGGTCACATGGTCACGGTTGACTGAGGTGGTACAGTCTTCAACCAGTTATGTCTAATATTAATGCAAACCACCCTATTTTTTCACTATAGTTACAATAGTTATTAATTAAATACCTTATTTTTAATTTTACAAAGAAAACATTCCAATTTACGCTACATTAAGTTTACAAATTATTTTATTGAACGAATTTTTATTAAGTTTAATAAAACTAACTCGATAATAATGTGCCAGTCAACGACATCGATTTCAAGGGAATTCCTTGCACACCTTGTATACATAATACATCCCACTGCTAGACTCATAGAATTACAGTCGATGCCCAGTTGGTTCTGGTAGATAAGTGCGTAAAATTCTAAAATTAATTTTGTTAAAACTTCCTGATTGCAACATTAGCAAACGATGGGCTATTGCTCTCCGAGTTGAACTAGGGAACGAGTCGGCAGACCCTACGAAATTCTTTCTCGTTTTAATATCTCTTATACGTACAGCGCCACCTTTGATTAAACTAAGAAATTTGATTTGATAATTGACCAAGTCTTTCTTGTTTAATGCCTTGTACTGGAAGTACTGTGTTCCGGTTTTGAAGGGTAGGGTGCTGGTGAAATTACAGGCACATGGTACTTGTCAACTTATGTCCCAGGGTGACGGGCGCAGTGGCAGGGCCCCTAAGATCTTTCTATTTAAAGCTGTGAGTGTCACTGCAACTGTTTTGGATTACCACCAGGCGCACGACTTGTTCTTTCCGTCACTTGATAGTATATAAAAAAAAGCAAAAGTTACCTCAATGCCGCTCTGGCGACCCTGTATCTAGTCCAGCCGTCTGCAGTTTGAACGGCACTCAAGACTCGTTCCTCCCAAGCGCTGTTGATCTTGCAGCTGAGGGACTTGCCAGCTCGCTCTTGGAAGATCACAGTGCATAGGAGTACCAGAGACGTGCCACCGTTTGACTCATCTAGTTCTCTATAGGAAAGTTGGTTTTGATTATTGATACAAAGATGGAACACACAGAAAAGCTTTCGCCCCGATGAGATTTGAATTCACGACCATACTGCACCGTAGTATTGTTCTTACCAATTGTCAATTGTTACGGGTCAAGTTATCGACTTGTCGAAATTATACTATGTGTTTAAAGATCTTTGTACTGGATTTTTCGGCATTCAGAACCGCTAGTGGCGTCTAGTGAGAAATTTTAGAACCATCTTCAGACTGCCTGAATCTGAATTTAGGTAGGTTATAACGAGTGATCCGAATAGGTAGAGTTTTTTATCTAAACTTGGAGGAACATAGACAGAAAATGGAGACTGTCTTACGACAATATTTTTTAGGTCCTGGATCTGTTCGGGATTCGGGGAATCACTGAAGTACATTGAAAATTGACGTAATTGGGGACAGGCAGGTACACGGTATTTGTCTTAACTTTGCGACACAGTGGGTCGGATCAGCGATAATGCGGAGATTGGATTTTTCACGATACCTCTCTAAAAAATGCCAATTGAGAGATCCTATTGTCCTAATTAAATATTGTCATATCACATATACGCGTCAGAAAATGTGCAATATAAGTAGTGAATAGGCAGGTTTGGGCGCGCGTTTAGTGTGCAAATTTATAGAAGATAGGTCTAACAATACGTCTGTAGTGATACCAAGACTGGATCGACTAAGATTTTGTAACGATGGGGCACTAAAGGTATGGTCCCATACAAAAATACACATTTTATTTTCTTCCTACTAAACTATTAGATTTATGGCACAATGTGATACGACAATATTTAATTAGGACAATAGGATCTCTCGATTGGCATTTTTTTAGAGAGGTATCGTGAAAAAATTTCAATGTCCGCAATATCGCTGATCCGACCCACTGTGTCGCAAAGTTAAAATAAATATAGTGTTAAATTACGTCAATTTTTGTGACTGAGTTAAGAAGTGATTTCCCGAATCCCGAACAGGTCCAGGACCTAAAAAATATTGTCGTAAGGCAGTTTACATTTTCTGTCATGTTCCTCGAAGTTTAGGTAAAAATCTCTACCTATTCCGATCCCTGGTCATAACCTAAAATTTAGATTTTTTTCCATAGATAGATTTAAATAGCAGTAGTAGAGCTCCTTGTGAAAGAGTTTGTCCAGGTAAGTACTGCCACCTTACCTATTCTTACCGCCAAGCAGTAACGTGAGCATTACTGTGATTCGGTTTTGACAGTAAGGGCCCTGGTGAAATTACTTTGACTTTCAATTTATGTCTCTTATGATTTGAAGCTACAAGTGGTACTACAACTGTCATGGACAGGCGTGTCGCTTACCACCAGGCGCACGACACGTTCGTCTCATCACTCGGTATCATAAGAAGTATACTAAATATAGTTAGGGATAGTAAATATAGCCTTTGGTTCTTCGACTCGGATAAACATCCCCTTTCTTTAATAATAATAATAATAATAATAATAATAACGCACACACTCAACATAGCCCCGCACTAGGGAAACCCTGTGTCGCCGGTGCCATGGACACACACATAGACAACCACAAATTACACCCAAACTCACGAGAGAAATAAATGTAGGTCATACAAATATTTCGCCCGGCCCGGGAATCGAACCTGGGACCTCTGCGTGGCAGTCCGGCATGGTAACCGTTCGGCCACGGAGGCAGTTAAAGGCAGTTAGTCTTTGTACATAAGTTTGATTATAGTGGCCCTCCCTACAGAATCTTAGGGTATACGAGAAGGGTACTATAACCTGTGCGTGCACAGGAACTTTCTAAGTTCAGGTTCTGACTCCAGATCAGCCAGTGTACAGGATTGTCACAGACCGTTGTCACTGACTTCAAATCGAAACCGATACAAAATAATTACTGTTCAGCGGCCGAATCCAACGCAGACAGCAGAGCTGGCATGGCAGGCGCAATAGACTCCGGGCAATGAGTACCACCGCCAAGCGCTGCAAGCGCTTCGAGCAGCGAGGCAAGGCGAACTCCGCCGTATTTCCAATTGCAGTTCTGAAGCTGAGAACCTAGGACTGTTGCTGTACGAGCCGCGTACACCTTTGGTTCGGCGTTGCTTAATTGTACCTGGATAAAAAGAAACAAGTCTAATTTTTACATAAATTGTAAATCTTCGTCATTGATAATGACGTTGATATTTCTATTTATTTATTTATATTCAAGTTACAAATACCAATAAATACATACCTTATAGACTAACATACATAATATAATAAAACATTAATTACTATTTACACGTATTGTCTGTGACGTGTAACGCAACGTGGGTATCCGGTAGCCGGCCTCGGAAACTTCGGTACATGACACCCTTCGGCCAAACGCATCCTTCACGAAGGTGACAGAAGTTGAGTTGGTATTCTCACCACAAATGAATTAAAATTCTCCAGCTGCTCGACCCTCAGGGGAGTATATATTGGCTTTTACCCGTATATACTCCACAATATCCAAAGACTGTGTAAAGTAATGAAGCCTTGACACGTATAACAACGTCGTCGGTATCGCTGGACGCAGTAAATGGTTAGGGCTAGTCGGGGCCGTGCCACTAAAGTTAGGGCTGGTGTACTTTTTTCCGTACCACCATTTTGAAACCGTCCTCGTCGCACTGGTCAACATTTCTCGGTAGTACTGAAGACACACTGATGTGTGCAGTGAAAATTACTAAATCTGAATTTAAAATCTATCATTTCTGGCGGTGGTGCAACTCACCAGGCACTGCAAGGCCATCCTCAAAGGTTTGGTATTGTTCTGTCCGCTTGGGAAACTTGTTGCAATGACTAACGACTCTAGAGCCAACATCAGATCGGCTCCTTCCACTGGCAGGCTCTCTTCATAGCTATAACAACAATAATGAAATAACAATTTAACATTAAATTTTATATAATATCAGTAGCAGTAGACGTCCTTGTGAAAGAGTTCGTCCAGGTAAGTACTGCCACCTTACCTATTTCTGCCGCCAAGCAGTAATATGAGCATTAGTACGTTCTGGTTTGGAAGGGTAACAGTGCTGGTGGAATTACAGGCACATGGTAATAGTCAACTAATGTGTCAGGGTGACGGGCGCAGTGGCAGTGCCCATAAGGGAATGTAAATCCGTAGTATATTTGAAATCCGGATTTCAAAAACGGATTTCGCAGCGTATTCGGATAGTCCGGTTTTTTTCGGAAAACTGTATATTGCTTATGAGTTGGATATAATTTGGGGCTATTTTTTTGTTGGTTGTAGACATAGAGTATATAACCAGAAAAAGAGGCGAAATATAATTTAATTTATAGATTTTAAGACTTTCGTGGTTATTCACTAAATGATTAATTATCACTAGTATCAGGTTTATATCGGGAAAAAAAAAGTCATACCGTGGTAAGAATACCTGATACCATACCTGATACTAGTTATAATCATCATTTAATTTGTTTGAAAACTATTCTGCCATATCATTACTGTGACAACTGCGCTCCGATTGGCCAGCCCGTATTCGAAACAATTGACGGGTGTTGTCAACATTTTCACTTCTTATCGACCAGTTAACTTGCGCTTTGCTATAATGGACGAAAATTGCAAAATTACATATTTAATTACCGATGAAATGTGATTCCGTTTGTTTTGTAATTAGATGTTTTGCTGTTTTTCCCACACCACCGAATAGAACAGCACGGCATTGTTAGAGATATTATCTTTATTACAATAAATACAAAATATTTTTTGGAATATACGGAGACGTACACACAGGTCAGTAGTTGGCCTGTCTGTATTTCAGTGCAAACGTGGGTTGATATTTATAAGAGCTGTATCGCTAATGTGTTACCAGGAATATATGGCCCTTATTTCGTCTCTATTTCTGTTTATATACTCGATGGTTGTAGAGTTGTGAAGGAAGAATGGTGCGATATACCGTCGAAAGCTTTTGTATAATCGACGAAGGCCAGGTAGACCGGGAAGGTCATACTCATGACTTTTTTCGACGACCATGCGTTAAACGCATGCGATGGCCGTTGGTGGAGAGGCCGAGGCGGAATCCTGCTAGTTCTTCGAAATTACTAATTTATTATTAAATAAATTATTAATTTAAAATCGTGGCTTAATATCAGGTGAGATTGTGGCCAAGCGTGTGTCTATTATATATAAAAAAAAATTACGCATAGGACATTCTCAATCTGAAAATCAGTCTTCTTTAATAATATGTGTAAAAATTACTAAACATAAGCCATTAAATATTTCATAATACAATAACATAGAAAAAATACAAGAACAAAAAAGTTTAACAAGTACACCAGTACGTAGCGTCGTATGTCAATAAAATGTAAAAAAAAGGGTTTAGAAATATTTTAACATTTTTTCTTTGAATTAAAAAAGATCATAAAATTGTTTTATTATTTAACCTGCTGAGGGTTCTGTTGCGTAACGTTCCAAAATTTTGTTTGCGGACGCGTGAATTTAAATACAAAAAACATCCGGATTAAATTTGAAAATCCGGATTTCAAGATCTAATGAAAATCCGGATTTTTTAAATTACAGCTTATCCGGATTGAATTCCCTTACCCATAAGATCTTTGCGATCTAAAGCTCCGAGTGGCACTGCAACTGTTACGGATAGGCGTGTCAAAAAGACCAGGAAGACCCTCACCAGTGGACCACGATCTTGGTGAGCACGGCGGCCGCGACGGCGGCCTGCCGCAGGTCGGCGCTGACCGCGGCGTCGCCGCAGTACTGGCGCAGCGCGCTGGCCGCGCCGCCGGGGGGCGAGCCCGCCGCCGCGCACACGGCGGGGCACTGCACCAGAATCTGAGGGCCACCGGCGAAGCCCATCGTCTTTATTTCGCCTGTTTACTGTTTACTGCCTCCGTGGGTAGCCGAACGGTTACCTTGCCGGATTGCCACGCAGAGGTCCCAGATTCGATTCCCGGGCCGGGAGAAATATTTGCATGGCCTATATTTATTTCTCTCGTGAGTTTGGGAGTAATTTGTGGTTTCCCTAATGCGAGGCTATGTTGAGTGTGTGCGTTTAAACGTAAAATCACATAACGTCGTAACGTAGTCTATTAAACTTTATTGACAACACAAAACGGTGCAAAAGGCGGACTTAATGCTAAAAGCATTCTCTACCAATCAACTTTTGAGGAAAACGAAATTCACGAATGCGGTAAATTAACCAAAATATGAATCATACATATGACAAACAAACCTAATATACATGTGACAGTGAAGAATAATTGTTATAATGTTTAGTACTGTGAGCACCGTCTAGCGAGAGACAGCAGGAATCTTTAAAAGTGTATATCTGCTGGCTTGTTGTAGTATTTTGCAGAGTGAACTTAAGAGTATGAATGTATGAAAATCGCGAACGAACTGTTTTCCTAGAGTCAGTAGTTCTATCTTAACGCTCACTCACTTGACGCGACGGCCGACAGCGTTGATTATACGCACTGATTCGAATAGATAGAAAAATGGCAAACGGTGATGATAAAATCCTGCAGCGATAAAAATTAGTTACAATTTCCGACAATATATTTATATATGATACATACATTAACTGAAGATTATGATTACGTAGCGTATTGATATTATAATTATATTATAATTAATTTGAAGACTAAATTGCTGTTGAAAATTAAGAAATCAATGCCTTAATATCTCACTTGTAGCGTATAAAGAGTGATTATTCAGGAGACGGCAAAACTTTAAATATATTTTAAATTTCTGATCAAGGGTGTTAATTTGTATGCATTACTTTAAGAACAGGTAAAAGCCAGTATGTGAATATAAAGGAAATGCGATGTGACATCAGCCTGCAAAATTTGTATATACAATCCATTTTTTACATTTCAGTAACTTTGTGCTTGAAGATACGAGTTTGAGTAAGTTAGGCGACGATAAGTGACATTTTAAACAGTCTTTAATTTATATAGCTAAGAAAATCACTATCTTTCTGCACGTGAAACTCAATAACAAAAAAGCCACAAACTCAATAAGAGTTTTATATAAAAACCATTGTAATACTATATTATTATTAATTAAATTTTTATTGAATTGATATTCAATTATTTTTTGTGAAATTACTCCGCTAGTTTGTTATAATTATTAATACAAAGATCGAACACTCAGAAAAAATTCCTTCGATCCGGTTGGATTCGAACCGACGTCTTCTTGGATACCGTGCCAGACGCTATACCAACTAAACCACGGAACGAACCAACGGACCTTACGAATTTTTCTATGTGCTTGCGTCGTGTCTTTGTACTTGGTCTTTCAACGACTTTTAAGTCGTAGCGCCATCTATGAGAAATCTATAACAGATTTATCACCCAGTTAGTACCTTTACAGCTACCAGTCCTGGCGAGAGATGTCGCTATTCACTGTATTAATTAAATTTTTATTGAATTGATATTCAATTATTTTTTGTGAAATTACTCCACTAGTTTGTTATGTGATCGAAGGATTTTTTTCTGAGTGTTCGATCTTTGTATTAATAACTATATTATTATTTTGAAAGATTAATAAATATCTATATATCCTATTAACAAAGAAAATAAAAGTAATAATAATAACAAAATATTGTGGTCGCATTTATGCCTAGTATTGATACATGTATTTTAATTGGAACACATTTCTTATTCGCTTGCGTTGGTCGGTTTTTTGTTTTATAAAATGTTATGTTATTCATCTAAAAGAAAACTTTGTTTCTTAAGCCTTGGTAGCTTAATGGTTTAACCTACCGCCACCCTAGTAGAGGCTGTGGGTTCAAATCCAGTCTCGCACCTGAGTTTCTTGATGCACTTTTGACATATCGCACTGTTAATACAATAGTGCATTAACTCAAAAAGAGGACTTTTTTAGAATCGATGAAAAATGAATTACTCACTTCCCGTAAAAAAATTATTAAAATTTATATGTTATACTTTATTATAGACACATAAACAATTTCTCAAATGTATTTTTAAAATAAAATGGAAAAAGTAATTTTACGTAAGCTCACATAAAGTGTGTCTCTTTTGGAGTTAAGTAGATATTTTTTTATTGTTTCTTACAATATTCTAACAACGGTTTTTTTGACGTGTAGAGAATCAAATTTTACGTTCAGTAATGATATAATATTAAATTTCACATATTTTGAGTTACAACACTATTGTAATAGCAGTGCGATATGATCACATGTATTATTGTCGTGAAACCTAACCTGCATGACCTCCAAACAGAGCATGGCGTGCGTATGCTGCGTGTCAGCGCATAAGACGAGCTGTCGAATACACTCTGCTGGCCATAGCGCCGCGTGTTCTGCGAGTTTGCGTAGGCCCACCAAGGCCGCGCGTCGGACTGCGGAACGGGCATCTTTCATCGCGATGTCGAGAAGGAGTTCCACCTGCAAAAGGTTTTTTTTTTAAGATGTCAAGTGACGGGACGAACAAGTCGTGATTCGTGTCGATAAGTCGCCTGTGCCTATTTCAAATTTCACCAGCACGTATATATATATATATATATATATATATATATCACCAGCAGAAAATACGTATATCGGACCGTCATTTCTCGAATTCGAAACTGGATCCCGATTGGGGTCGATTCAGAACCTTGCGTTAACTCAGTTGTCGACCGATTCGATTTCATATAAATCATAAAATTAAAATAAATTAATAAAATTGAACAAATCCCGACTTAATTTAAAAGAGATTACCATAATACGTTCTTGCTTTGTAAACCATAGGACATTCAGTGGCTTTCATTCGGTAACAGTGTTCAGAATAACGTTTGTAGCGTTTGCCGGTCGAGAAGTTCGAGTAATCGTACGGGTGTGACGTCATTTCGGTTCGGTTCCGAATAGGAGTTTGACGTTCGATTCGGGTGTTGTGAATAAAAATGAAAAGGAATCGGTCGACAAGTGAATTATCGTAAGGTTGTGAATCGACCCCCTAATACGACGTAGTGCTCACCTACTGTTTGGCGGCAGAAATAGGTACGGTGGCAGTATTTCCCTGGGCATACTAACACGGAACTGTACTGCTACGTAACTCATATTATATAGTACTCATAATATAGTGGATTCCATTGACTCTCTCTCTATCTCAACTTTACATTTGTTCTTTATATCCTTTCCAATAAAGTATATTACAATAATAAAAATTCCTAAACGTGATGCTATTTAATAGCTTTCAATATAGTAATTTAATACCTGATCAGGTACATGCACAACAGTGTCAGCAGCAATCGCAGTCAACGCTGTGATGGCGGCACGAACGGAGCTCGAAGACGGGAACCGTTCTAGCAAGGAGCGAAGAAGTTTTAACACCCCTTCGGCACGAATAGCTGTTGAAGATACATAATACATAAATATCATATCGCCTGTCTCCCACTGGGGCAGGCATAGACCATGAACCTCCTGACAAACATAATTTGTGTGAAATTACTTCACTAGTTTGTTATAATTATTAATATAAAGATCGAACACTTAGATCCGTCTGGATTCGAACTAACGTCTCCTAGCAAACTGAGCCCGACGCTATGCCAACTAAGCCATGGAACGAACCAACGGATGTCATGTATTTTTACATGTGTTTGTTGCACTTGTCATCTGTGGGAATCTATGAAAGTTTTCCTTTACTCAGTACCTTTACGGCTACCAGCCGCTGGCTAGAGATGACATTTTAATAATAATAATTAAGTTTTATTGAATGTCAGAATGTTTCATCATGATATTGAATTAATTTTGTGAAAGTACTCCTCTAATTTGTTACAATTATTAAACAAAGATCAGAGAACAAGGGTGATGGAGAAGGAAAGATTTTCTTTAATTTTACAGTCACTATTATAAAGTTTTAGTGTGATATACTTGTCAGTTGATTAAAATTTTTTACCCAAATAATAGTGCTAACTTCTTTAAAATTGGTGAGCAAATTAATTCTTACTTGAATAAAAAAAGTAATAGGGTATTTCACATTTTTTTGGAAACTTTTTAAGTAAATGACGATTCATTTACGATGTTAAAAAATACAGGTTAATTTATTTCTATTGTCTTTGTAGTAGGCGTAGTTATTGAAGTTTTTACTGTGCCTATTTTTTCAGTAATATTAGAGTTATTGCAGTTTTTACCGTTCCTATTTTTTCTGTAAAGTTGGTATTGTAATAATGCATTGATACCTCCCACTCGATCATATCGTACATAGATGCTTTCTGTTTTTAAGTATATTACAGGTTCCATATTTAAAAGTAAAGAAATCACTTAATGTTATGCTTGAGTTGTGGACACTAGCACGTCACACCATACCGTATCAATACACAGGTCACAATGAGGCAGGGAAAAGGCAACATTATTAAAAGGTTATATTAGAGATAAGGGATGTAAACTGAGGCAAGCCATCTCCTTTCTCCTGTTACATACTGGATTAAAGCTTTGGTCTCACCTCCTCCATGGACAGTCCTCAGAGCCCGTACAAGCTTGGCACGTCTCTCAGCTCCTGTGCTCTCGCACTCTACCATGTCAGACAGCTTGTTGCACATTGCCACTGCAAACACACTGCAATGGAAAATTTTATGAAAGTTCCTTCAATATCACACTGTTCATTGGAAAAAAGTATGGTGATGAATTGTGAAAGAAAGTAAAAAACTTTTGGGGAAAATACTTAACATGACACAAGTGTCCAAACTTCTAGTCACCATTATATTTAGCGTATGTTCTTATATTTATTCTTTTCAAATATATAACATTGTGTGTGGTGGCAAGCTACCGTCAGGTGGTAAACCTTCTTGGTTTACTGTTCTAGGAAAACATGTGAAGCCCCCTACTTGTATCAGGCCAGCCAGCATTGTGCCTAATTACTATTATTAAAGGACACCCGTGCCCACTGACGGGATAGACAATAATAATAAAATTTCTCTCTACAAAATTCTTTCATACAAAAACATAAAAACAGAAGATACAAATTATAAGGTACAAAAACAAACCTTATAAAAAAACAGTGTCTAGGCCGCAAATTCCACAAAGTGGGGTGTTCTGGGCTTGCATGTATGTTGTGCGGATATATCCAGCAGAACACATGATGTACGTACAAAACTTGAAAATCTTACTGAACGCACCACACACCGTTGTGAATTTATGACCTTAGGCTTACAGGTTCTCCCAAGTCAAACCTAATAGCTATTAAAGTTACACTAAATTTGACTGGGATGTTAACGTTTTAAGCTGTATTATAAAAAAGTGACAAAGAACAACTATCAAAAACATTTCATGTGTGCATTTTATTGATCGATGCAATTTATTTCCAATTACAATTTAATGAGTTGTTGATGATGATATAACGCATGAGGGCCTCAAGGGCCTAATGGTTTCAACTGCAGATGCAGATGGAGAAGATCTCAGGTCAATTCCTAGAATGACCAATTTAGGAAATGAACTCTTCTAAATTGGTTGTGGTCTGGGAGTTCTGGGAAGTCCTTGGTAAAATGCTTGTATGACACATTATTTTTATTATTACTTACTTTGAATGGGCAGCAAATCTCGTAGTAGCATAAATGGCAGCGTCAACTTCAACATTGTCATGACTGTCCAAGCCTCTCCGTATAGCATGATGAACATTCTGCCTTTCTGGGATTATTCCCGCCACAGCGCCAAGAGTTCTGAGCGCTAACGCTCGTGCCACAGGATCGTTTGAATGTAGAACGCTGAACACACGTCTTAAGAACTCGTCAACGTTCAAAATCTTGTCCAAATGCTTCTCACTCTGCTGACACACTCTTAAAACCCAGAGTCGAAGGAAATTGTTGCCCATTCGAAAAACATCAGCTAGTTTCAGAAAAGAGGAGTTGATTAGTATAGGGAAGGGGTATTTTTCGAAGAGACGAGGGAAGCGAACTATCGCTTCGCATTGTTCGCCTACTTTGCCGGAGCGTAGTCCTAGAAAAACAATAGATTTAAATCAACCTCCGGTCAAATGCAAAACAATAATAAGGTTATGTTGATATTTTACCTTTGTCTAATTCAGTCAATGCTGAGTTAGCATCTTGCTCGGGCTCTCCAGAATTATCATTGAACGTATTTAGTCTCACACCGATCATCTTATCGTATTTATATCAAAGATTTTTAGTGAAAACAAACAACAAACGTCGGCCAAGCAATGCTTGTTTATTTTTAATAAAAAGTACATAGTGTAATTGCACAAGTGAAATAGCGTCCTACAAAAAAAACATTCCGTTGTATCTTTCTATTTTTTATTTTTAACGTATATTAATCGACAAAAACGCAATTCTACGCCGTTGCTGCCATCTGTCGTAAGAGATATTACTACAACAAAAATTGTTTTCTTATAGTCAAATTAGATGGCAGCATAAGTCTCGTTTAATTCCTTCTTGTTTGCTTATTGGTGCTGCCGTTCTTAGGATTTATGTACTATTTTTACAAACTTTATTATGGCGAACATCGCCAATGTCAAGTTTTTTCAAAGTATATCAAAATCCCTGAAATGATGAATACCAAAGTCAAACTTATTCCAGTATTAGATAGTCCAGTTAAAATGAGGTTTCAGGCGTCGCTTGAAGAACATGTGAATAATTTTTATTCCCAGATAAGAGTACTTGCAAATATTTCATAGGTCTTATTTTTAAAATAGGAATTCTGCCGAAAATAACTTTCGTGCCTATAAAAGAAGTGATGGCAGATAATGAGATTGACTGTGTCGTGTCATGTTATATTATAAACCAGACTGTTATTGATCTACTCTTTGTACGTATTTTCATGTTTGTAGGAAGAAAGCCATATGTATGTGTTCTGGATTATCTAGATCATTTTAAGGTTATTCTTTTTGGTCTTGATTTCTCAAGTATCTTTACTATAATCCAACCTTCCGTTGGATTTTTACCATTTTACCATCCTAAATTTATCTTCATCTCTATTTGTCCTGATTTGTCGTCCGTCTTTTCTTCCTCCATCGATATTCTCACAGGTTGGCCCAACTTATATACTATTAAAATCGGATACTCCATTAACATAGTCTCGCTTCGCAACACAACACCTCAATTACATGGAATTAGGACTTAGACGTTTGATTACAAAGCAGTTGGTATGGTGCTCAGTTGTCAAAGCGAGTAATTGCGAGTGTATGCCGCCATTAGCAAATTACCGTGTTCACCGGACGGCGACTAATCACACAGATTGCTGGATCGGACCGAAATTCTTGATGTTAAATGCTGCCATAAACGTAAAGATATACGTAAACATATTTAAAAAGTTTTTTCTTTAATTGTAATAGATGGATGTGGTTCATAAATCGTTTTGGGTAATTATACTGGTAAATGGCGCCTATAATTCCTAGTTAATTAAGGTCTATTAATGAAAGTCAAAGAACATTAGGTAATTATTATCCATTGTTATGTAAAATTAAACTTCTTATGTCGTACGACACAACGCCACCGATAAAGACCGGCGTAAAATCGGCACGTCGCCGTCGTCGTGTCGTAATTTTGTTTTTATTTTAGTATTAAGTGCCTTCTTCCTTCTTTAGCATCCTTGATTTACGTAAGTGCTATATTTCCTTACAATTAAAATGAATTACGTTCCTGTCTACGTAAATCCTATTAGTATACTAAATTAAAATTGGTCTGTACCCACTAGTTCAGTGGACTGAACTAATAAGGTTTTTTTTTATCGTTTGTTCTGTTGACCGAAATGATGCAATTTTGGTCCTCGTCTTCATTTACCTATGTGCTTGATACACTACCAGATTCGTAGTACCATCGTAGTGACCCACTGGTGGCGCGACGAGTAATTTGCTGTTTACTTGTCGTCCCACCAACATGGGGCCTTTATTTTGGGCTCTGAAGTGCTTTACGAGTATACTCCTATGTATATTCATTATTTTTAACTTAGTCTAACGCTGGCCACTTGATTTTGAAAAAAATTTGAATTTGAAAAACAATAAAACATAAATTCACGTTGACTTGGAGAACTGAACAAGTGGGAATAGAGGAAATAAAAAAAAATCTACTAAACCAGGGCAAAAGCTTATTTTATTTTCAACTGAACAAACGAGGAAAAAATCTCATTCTTATTAGTTTAGTCAACTGAACTAGTGGGAATAGAGGTTTAAAATTAAGGCTGTATATTTTCAAGTGTTTGTTTTTTTTTAAATGTCATATTTTTAGTGATAGCAACTACCTACATACATGCTAAATATTATAGCAAGTTAAAGTGTAAAAAACGTTTTCAAACCCCTGAAAAATATCTATATGCCCAATGATCTTTTGTATATACGAGACCAACTACAGGCCGATTTTGTTTCGCCGCCTATCAGAAATATCTTATATCCTTAATACTTATATCTATATAAATCATAAAGTACTTACCTAAAACTTGATAGCGAAATTAGCTGTTTTAGGTCACGACGCCATTTTATTCCATTTATAGTGTATTCATTGTCGCACACAAGCAAAGATTATACCGATTTTTACTATTTTTGAATTATGAATATCTCCTAAGAAATGAAACTATTTTTTCGCTTTAATGTACGCGACAAATATTTTTTTTTTAGATTTGGACATTTTTGATCCAAGATCCAGGGTACCTATTTATTTAAACGAGTTGCTTTAACTTGCACTTGTATAGACTTTCACCCATTGCCTTGGCGCTTTAGTATTAAGTAAATAAGCAAATTAATAGCAAATTTAACAGTAGTTCTTTCTTGTTACTTTAGAATGATGTGTCAACTGTAAGTAGGGTTACAATCTAATACAGAACTTTGTTATATCATATTTAATTTGTATCAATGTAATTTGATTGTTATCTGTTTTGTTGTCCATATAATGAACAAATAAATAAATAGCGAAAATCTAAGAACTCGATTTATAAATATCTCTTTATTTGATTCTCGGAGCTAATTTTGGTATAATGTCAGGAAAATGTCTACTTTTTATTGAAATAATAATTTCGCACCCTTTTCATGTAGTAAGGCCACATCGGACATTGGCCTCTCCTAATGTGCGTTATTTTGTCCGGTACTTAGCTTGTCGCATCATCTAAAACGCACAACATGTTATTCGCTGTTACTACATGGACATATAGTTTTTTACGATCGGCTTAAGGGTTGATACTGCCACTGTTCGAATTTAATTTTTTTCCGTAATAATACGGCTTATTTTGCCTGGGCTTTATTTTAGAATTTATTTTTTACAAAGAAAATCAAAGCCTTTTGGAAAATGTATCGTATGCTATGCGTGTTATTTAGTTCAGTTGATATATTTAAAAAATCATTGTTATATCTATAATAATTATTATATTTAGGAAGATGATTATCAAGTACAACTACTTGATTTATTTTTGTTCCTCGCATTAATGTTATGTCGTCACTATTTAAAAAAAAACACATTTTCATAAAATATGTAGGTACTGTGACGCTAGTGTAAGTTATCTCTCAAAGACACTGTGGGGTCCAAATTGTAAATTGCCCAGTTTCAATTCAGTTAGTTTTAATTCCGACAGCCAACGAAGGAAGTTACACAACCAATCTTTTAAACCATGGTTTAGCGACTGCACTATCTTAGTCCTTCCGGATTTTAACAAAAGCTCAATAGACCAATATTTTGGGTATTTTGCTTAAGCTCAGAATAATGGGCGTTGTGAGAAATACGCAAGTAATCTACAGTCGACGTTAGCATTACGTACAGGGATGCTATTAACCCAGTTCGGGACAAAAGTTCTTTCGTGGAAACTTGCTACTACTTGCCCAAATTAACTTTGCCTTCCAATCACGCTACAATACTTCGAAACTCACCTTAAAGTGAAGAGCTAAGGTGTAATTTTCGAAAGTTTGTTCAAGGTTGGAGCAACAAAAGATTGTGGTAAAGATTTCATAGCTTCTGTGGTAGTTTAACAATCGTTCATTCATTGTGAGCGGATTATTTATAATCTGCGTTTTTTTTAAAAGTAGATAACTTCGGATTATAGGGTAATGAGGATAAGATTATGAGGTGAATCAGATAATGTGTTGTGGCATTACTTTGCTTTAAATACGCATAACTTATTCATTTTAGTAACTTAATTATCTAAGTTTATCTTATTGTTAAGTATACTTTGAAATATGTAAAGTTATGGGAGAAATATAGTTCAATGTTTCGGTAGGGTAATTCGATTCATTAAAAAGAAAGTTTATGTAGACTCGTAGAAGTTTTCATAATTACTTTTAACACTATCGTCAACTCTTACGCCCCATTACTAGACACGCGTTTCTTTACATCTTTAGTGGATACGTTTTCCAAGGCTTCATATTTATTTTATTTGATAATTAGTCATGACAATATTCTGATAATTATGCGGTATATATTCGATAATAATCCATACTGATTCACAGTTTCATGTCTTAAAGTGTTGACATACAAAGAGAAAACGAAAGATGTTTGGAAAAACGATTTGGTTTGTGGCTGTTTGAGATTGACATGCGTTTCGAATACAAAACACTTGGCGTGACATTGCTAGCGGTAGCATTCTATTGTTCCAATTATTTTTTTAAATGTCATGATAATTTACAATGATAAATATCAGTGATAATTTATTATCACTTCGAAACCTGGGTTTCACCACGATGTTTTCTTTTACCGTTAGCGAGAGATATTGCAAATAAACATTCAAAAATATACGTAACATAGATATTTAAGTAATAGGCACAGAGATATGTAAGAGAACGGTGGCGTTTCTATTAAGTAACTCATAAACAATATTACCTTTACCTTTACCTTTGTCTTATGACAAAAAGCTGTAATAGTCGCGGTAGTAATTCGCATGGCACATGTATAATAAATATTTATAAATATTAGACAACTCACATACGTATTAGACACATACGTATTAGACACATACTTACGAAAGTACTCGTGTTATAGAAATTGGAAACAATGATGGTACCACAAATACCCAGACCCGAGACAATCTAGAAAAGTTAGTTATTTTACATTGACCCTGCCGGGGATCAAAGCGGGGACATCAGAGATGGTGACACCATGACAAGCAATTTTGGTGAAATTACAGGCACATGGGACTTGTCAACTTATGTCTCAGGGTGACGGGCGCAGTGGCGGTGTCCCTAATCTTTGCAATTGCTATGAGCGACACTGCAACTGT